CTTGTGCTGATCTCTCCGTCTCCTGAAGACTGAGCCTCCCAGTTTCACCCTGTAGCACCAGCCTCTGCTTTCTTCCTTCTCCTGATGGGGAGCTCACTACCTCAGGAAGCACCTTTTGCCTGAAGGCCTGAGACTGGGGTCAGTGGAAGGAGTGATCTTGAGTTCACCAAGACAGGCCTCTTACCCCAACCCCAACCCCAACCCCAAGCCCAGCGGCAAGGCCGCAAGAGGAACCGGGCCGGGCTGCAGAGACCCCTCTGAAGCCGCCACCATGGAGGGGGTGACTCGCTCTTTCCAGTACCCGATAGAGTCAGTCTTCTCCCCAGAAAACGTCACACAGCCTGGCCCACAGGGACCCGCCTGGCCAGCCCCGCGGACACCTCAGCTCTGCTCCTCAGTCTCGGGTCCCCGCGCGCCTGCACCCCTGTCGCTCTGGCCTCTGCAGGGTCCCTCCTGCTCACCGGGGGTCCCTCTGGACCCTGCAATTCCTGCTCTTTTTTGAGATCTCAGCTCACGGGTGCCTTCCTCAGGGAAGGAGCCCAGATGTGTGTGATTCTTAAATCACTTACAGTTGTCCCCGACTAGACTGTCAGCTACGCCAGGAGAAGCCAGGCCGCTCACACGGGGCCCGGCACGTGGCGGCACTGGGCGAATGGAACCAATGGATGAATCAGCAGTGAGTGAAGGGGGCGATGAACACAGAACTATCCGGCTCTTTCAGGAGCCTGACAGACCCCAGAAGGCCAGTCGGGGATGGTAAACTACCCCCCTGGGGGAAACAAAGTCTTGATTTATAGCATGTTTCCAATTCCCGTGGTGTAAATGCTCCCAAGATGACTGATTGCAAACTGCCAATGATTCAACCACCAGCTTATGAAAATTCTGAAAAATTAACAGTTGGCTCTTGCAAGCTGGTACAAGCCGGCTGCCGCACGCCACTGCCCGAGCCCACCCGTGGGCCCCTCTTACATCGAAAAGTCTCCCAGTGAGAAACCCCCAGTGCTGGTGACCAAGCTTCACGTGCCAAAGAAGGTGAACGTGCTGGGAAACGACAACTCCTTTCACCCAACTCAGGAGTTCATGCATGATCAGGCCAGCAGGGCCTGCCCTGGCCGGGTAGTCCAGTGGTTAGAGCGTTGTCCCACTACGCCAAGGTGCGGGTTGGCTCCCCGGTCAGGGCACGTACAAGAATCAACCAATGAATGCATCAATAAGCGCAACAACACATCGATGTTTCTCTCCCTCCCTCCCTCTTCCTTCCTTTCTCTTTCTCTAAAATCAATTGGGAAGAAGAAAAAAAAAAAGGCCAGCGTGGGATGGGCTCCCTGACTCACAGCTTAGTAGGACCACTCGGCTCATTCCCAAGCTCCTGCTACCACCCCTGTCTCTGCCCCCTGCCCCCCGGCCTCCCCACCAACAGGAACCTTGGGGTGAGGTTAAGGCCAAGGTCTCCCTCCTCCAAAGCTAAGGTGTTGCCCGGAAGGCAGGTCTGGGTGGGACTGCAGGGCTGAAAGCCACCACACGTGGCCGATCCATCCACGCCCAGCCTCCGATGGGAAGACTTAGGGGGGGAGTGAGCAGGATCCCAGAGCTCAGGGCAGGGCAGGACTTAGGACCTGGGGTCCCGGCTCCTGGCGCCAGGCGAGCCGGGCACGGTCTGTCTGTACTCACGTGCCGCTCTGCACCCGCACGGAGGACACCTTCTCCTGGTAGCCGTGGGCGTGGAAGCTGGGCACGTCGTCGTCCAGGATCTCCATCTTCTTCCCCGTGAAGTTGGGGTTCTCGTAGAGGATGATCTTGGGCTCCTGGCTGTCCTGCTGACGGGGAGCGGGGGGGTCAGTGCAGGGCAGGGGCCGGAGTGAGCCCGCCCACCATCCTCACGCCCTGGGGTTGGGGTCAGCAGCTACGCCATGGCCTCGGCCCAGGACCCCACCATCCGCGTGTCTGTGACAATTGCCAATGAACAGCGGCTGTTTGTTGAGATCCTATTGGGCTACCACTCTGAAACGGATACTCCAGAGTCTACACTTCGGGGAATATTTGATTCTGAAATGTCATTTTCTCTCCCACAGCTTCAACTCACTGTTTAAAATAAATGCCAGCCAGGAGCTACACACACACACACACACACACACACACACACACACACACACACACACACACGGCCTTATGGTGCCTCTAGGTGACATGACATATTTTGCTTTCCTTCATCTCCACGTCTCTCCCCGTCCTCCTGCTCCTTTAATCCTTTCAGCCACTTGTGCCATTCGGCCGATGAGGAGACTGAGGCCCAGACAGGTCGAGTGACCTGCCCAAGGTCACACAGCTGCCAGTGCCAGAGCCACGTAGGAACCCAGGTGTGCAGAAGGCTGAGTCCAGTGTTCTCCAATCTGCTGTCAGGCTTTGGGGAGAACTGGACAGGGCTGGGCAGGCTGGGGAGTGTGGCTGAGCCCTGCTGGGCTCTGTGTCCACCCCCCGTTCAAACACTAGGAAGAATCAGGACCAGAGAAAGGCCCACAGGCCACACGGGCTTGAGCTAAGATTATTCTTAGAGCTGAGCCGCTCTCCACCACAACCCATCCCGGAAGTCCTTCCCGTCTTTACAACGGCTACACGTGACTGAGCGACTGCTCTGTGGCAAGAGTTGTACATCCCTGGAAACACCGTCCACACAGAATAGAATGTGAACAGCGCCCCCCTTGGACCATTTGAAGTCTTGTGAATGGAGCTCCGTGGGGTTGTGCAGCTCTCAGACTAAGCATGATGGAATCTCAGGACAGGAGACGAATATCCCCATTTTACAGAGGAGAAAACTGAGGCTCGGGGAGGGGGAAGTGACTTTTTTAGGGTCACACAGCCAGGACATCCCCTGCCAATCAGAAGGGGCACCCTGCTGGAGGTGAAGGCTTCTATCTGGTCCCTAGACCCCTAACTCCAAGGCGATAAAGAGGAAGGAGGGTGAGGGGCAGGGGCTCACCACTTTGATGGGCCTCAGGGAGCTGAGGGAGTCCGTCCTCCGACTGCTGGTCCACGAGTCCCAGCGGGGGTACTCCCCCTTCTCAAACACGAACTGCTCGCCCTTGCAGTTGGCTTGTTCGTAGCCCACCCAGCTGCAGTGGAGAGGGAGAGGGAGAGGGGGAGGGAGAGGGAGAAGGAAAAGGAGAGGGAGAGAGAGAGAAGCTCACACCTGCTCAGCTCATCAAGGAATAGTAGCCCCACTCAAGTCCAAGTACAGCCAATCCAAGAGCACAATCACCTCAGTTATCCAGAACCCAGCGCTACGCTGACTTCAACCCTCTGGAAACCAAGCAGGAAATAAGCCAGACGGCCTGGCAGCAAATACAGACCTACAGGCCCATGCACGAGGGCCCAGGGTATGCTGGAACGAACAGCCAGCTCTCAAAAGCAAACACAAAGCTCTGATGGTGGCAGTTGCCAATTTCCCTGGTGTAAATGCTCCCACGATGGCTGACACACACTTCCCAATGCCCGCACGCTGACAGGTGTCGGTGAGCTCTCGACAACTGCTTCCTAAGGACCCGTTGCCTAGAGCAACATTGCCGGACGAAGCACATCTTCTAAAAGCAGCAAGAAACAGGCGCACCCCTCCCTTTAACCACTTAGATGATCGCTCTGAACAGCCATTAGGGCTCCAGGCTGCAGGGTTCACCCTGGCAACGAACCGCCTCCACATGCCAGACATTTCCAAGTGGTGTCTCCTTTACCCCACTCTCCTCTTTCTATTAGTCACGTGTCCCCAGAAGGCAATCCTTGAGAGGACATTCCCGGAGCCAGAGACAGACAATTCTCAAAAGGCCCACAGCCGTGACTGTGGCCGATTCCCTGCCTCCGGGTCAGACTCTTTCCATGAGCCCTGCCCCTTCGTCCTCAGGAGGGCATGGCCAGCCTCATCCCACAGAGGGGGAAACTGAGGCTCCGAGAGGGAAGCCGCCCAGCCCAGAAAGTGGTGGAGGCAGGATCTGAACCCAGCTCTCTCTGACTCCAAAGCGCACATCCTCCCGCTAGGCTGCCCCAGCTTAGCACCCCGAGGGGGGCGGCCTCCCCGGTACCTACGGTCCAGCCTGCACCAGCACGGAGCCGGCCTTGTCCATGCCCGTCTCCTTCAGGTTGGGGCAGGGCCCGCTGAGCTCCTGCGAGCGGCCCTGGAAGTTCTCCTGCTCGAAGATGATGATCTGTAACAGCGGGAGGAAGTCAGTCCCGTCGCCACGGAGAAGAGGGAGAGCAGGGCGGTGGGTGGGGAGGGGACTCAGGAGCCTCGAAGGAGGCTGCAGGCTTCCTCCCTGGGGTCCCAGCCAGCAGGTCTGCATGTCCAGTGAGCTCCCAGGCGGGGCTGGCACCACGGGTCTGCAGGGCACGGTAGGCGCAGCGAGATGCTCAACTGGTGGAGTTTCTCCTGCTCCTGGGGGAGCTGGCCTCGGACCCCCGCCATCCACACCCTCAGCCCCGCATCACCAGGGAACCACACGTACCTGGCCCTTGCTTGAAGCCTCAGAGCTTCGCAGCTCTCCCTCGGGCCTCCCCCCAGGACTTCCCTTCCCTTGCCCCACCCGGTCCTCTCACCAGCCCAAGGCCTCAGAGTCACGTGCTAAGGGGAGGCCAGCTGCCACCTTTTATGATTCCAGAGAGCATCTGGGGCCCAGGGAAGGGGGGGACAGGAGGCAGGGGTTTTCCAGCCACTTCCCCAGGGGCTGCCTCTGGATGAAGAAGGGGGCTCAGGGCAGCGGCCTCCCAGGAGGGCAGGCATGCAACCCGCCCGGTCAGCAGAGGCTGGGTAAACGTGCCCCTCTCTCCCAGGCCACAGAAAGCCAGGGAAGGGAGGCCTGCCAGGGCTCAGAGACAAATTCCAGGGCTCCATTCCGCCTTTGCCGTCACTGACTCGACGACAGACGGTCAGGAGACGCGGGCATCGGTGTCACCTCTCCCGCATCCAGCTGTGCACCCCTAGGAAGCAGCTTGACTGCTCCGAGCCTCGGCCTGCCCATCTGGGAAATGGGGGATCGCTCCTATTTTGCAGGGTCACCAAGAAGAGTCAAGAGCATGGCAGCGAGGGGCTGGGGGACAAGGGCTGGCGGGGTGGAGAGAGCGAGGAATGGCAGCCTTGCTGTTCGTTCGAAAGGCCCCAGAGAGCCGTTGTGGTTCTTTATCGACAAATGGACGCTAAAGTTTTACACGTTTCTAACCCTTTACACCTGCGCTGTCCATTAGCTACATATACCTATTGAGCAGGGGCAACTGGTCCGAAGGAAGATGTGTTATCGGCATAAAATACACATCCGGTTTGTAAGATTTAGTATGAAGACAATCATGTCACGCAGCTCCCTCATAATGTGCCTATTGGCTTCACATTAGACTGTATTGGGTTTAACAAAATACGGCGTGAAGGTTCATCTCATCTGTTTCTTTGCACTTTTTGAACGTGGCTACTAGGAAGCCGCTGATGATGTCTATGGGGCTCTGGTTTTATGTCGATTGGACAGAGCTGCTCTAAGTCACATGACGCCGGCCTTTCTGCCGTTCCTCAAAGCCGTCCAGCTCGCTCCGACCCCCGGGCCTTTGCACCTGCCATGCCCTCTGCCTGGAATGCTCTCCCCTGCCCCGCTCCCTGGTTTTCACGTGGCTGCTCCCTGCCTTGACCCGGGTCTTTGTTCGAATGCCACCTCCTCAGAGAAGCCCTCTCTGAGCACCTTAGCTGTCACACCATGCCTCCTGCACCCCGACTCTCAGGAACCCACACTCTATGCTTCTTTGCAACACTTCTCACTCCTTGAAGTCATATAGTTACTGGTCTGTTTACTGACGGTCTTTCTTCTAGAAAGTAAGCCCCTCAAGGGACAGAATGGGGTGACAGAGGGCAGTTCCGGGGTGGACGCCCTGCCCAGGCCCCAGTGCAGAGGGAAATTGAGCAGCCTGGCGGACAGTTGAAGGCGGAGGTTTGGGGCAGGTTGGGTGTGACGAGCTTACACTGGGATAAGGACGTGGAGGGTGAGAAAGCAAAGAAGACACTGCTGGTAGCTGGCATCGGCGGACACCACAGCCAGGAGTGAGGCCGAGTCTGTGCTTTGCCTCTTCACAATCACCCTGTGTCGTGAATTCAATTCTCTTTATGTTATGAATGAGGGAACCGAGGCTCAGAGAGGCCGAGAGGCTGGCCAGGGCCACACAGCAGTGTGGAGCCAGGACTCAAACCCCATCTCCCCTTCACAAGGCCTTTCTTAGCTGGGACGAGGGTCCACCCTGGCCCTAGGGGGCCCCCATGGACAATAGTGTGGGGGTGGGGGGTGGTAAGGCAAAGAAACTTACGTCTCCAAAGCCGGAAACTGGTGCTGGGATTCTGACCTGCCCGTGGTGGGCCCGGGAGGAGCCTTCACAATCAGCGCCCCCTCCCCCCCCAGCGCCCCATGGAAGTGGGGAGACTGAGGCACAGGGAGGGCAGAGGCAGAGAGAGGGAGGCCCGGGGAGGCAGATGCCAACCCCACTCTACAGAAGGGAAACTGAGTCTGATAGAGGAGGTCTGCCAGGCCCCCCTGCACCCCCCTGCACCCACGTGGCACCTACCTTGGGGTTGAGGGGCTGTGGCTTGCCCGCTTGGGTCTGGTGGTCCGAGGCCATGGTGGGCTGTCCCGAGCAAGAATGACCTGGAGGACACGGGGGTGGGGAACAGCAGTGAGGACCCTCCTGGGCCCTCGGCTTTCTCACCTGGGGGACCTCGGGCCCCAGCACTGCAGGCCTTGCCTTTATCTGCCTGGTCTCAGGCTGCCCTAGAGCTGAGGCTTAGAGCGCTGAAGCCTTTGCCCAGGTCACCGTGGCAGGAAGTAGTGGCATCTGGGATCGAACCCAGGCCTCCCAGTCTCCATCAGGGATGAGCACGCGAGGAAAAGGCCAGGCGAGCGAAAGAGGCATTCTTACCAGCGACACCGGCCCCGAGAGCGCCTGTGAGGCCGGGCCGGCGGGAGGTGGCCTTTATACCTCCCCCCGGGGTGCCCGTGCCAAGACTGCGGCCCCGGGGAAAGCAGGGCGAGAATGGGGGATTAAGCCCGCACCAAAGGCCAGGTCAGCAAATGCCCACAGACATTGTGTCTGCACAATAATGTCATTAGCTTTCAGATCTGGCCAGGCCAGGGCCGTCAGGCGGCCGGGCAAGGAGATGCGCGCTCTGCATGCATCAGCTGTCTGGCTGCCAGGGCCGGGGGCACGCTGGGTTCACAGCTGTGGGCTGTGGAGCCCTGGGGGAAGGCAGACCGAGGCAAAACTCAGTGGCCCCGGATAGAAAATCAAGTTCAAGAGGGTGGTTTGGCAGAATCCAGCTTCATCCATCCAACACCCACTCACCAGCCGTCTGCGTGGTGCCGTGCTCTGTTCTAGAAGGTGGCGGCAGCCTGGACTGCCCTGGAGAACTCACGGGAAGAGAAGTCCTCTGGATCCGGAGAAACCAGCCTGGGAGCCAGGTTGGGAAGACAGTTCCAGCAGGGCCAGGGCCTGGTGGCGCAGGGCGAGGAGAGCGGGCTTCATGCTGGAGGCCCCCGGCTGTCCCAGCACCCGCTGCGCTTAGGGGAGGTGCTCCCAGGCCCCCAGGCCCCTGAGGTTCGGGGAAACCCTGCTGTCCGCCCTGCTGCCCGCCCCGCCACGGCCTCTCCACGGCCTTTACGCTCCTTCCTGGCAGCCCCTCGGTGCCTTGACGACCCAAGGTCCGGCAGGAGAGGGGACAGCGCTGGGGCTTGGAGACGGGGTTCGAGTGAGGAGACCAGCTCTCCCCATCTTTTACGCTCCCGGCACGTGCGCACACACATGCACGCGCACGCACACGTGCACACCCGTGCGCGCGCACCTGCGCCCGTGCACACACGCACGCGCACGCACCACCCACGCCCCAGCGCGCTAGCCAAGCTGCTCCCTCTCCAGCACGTCCCACCCCCTGGCATCACGTTACTCTTTAATCTGCTGGATTTCCAAGGACAAGTGTCCGTCGCTGACTAAACGCCTGAACAAGATGTGCTCTGTGCACACAGTGAGACGCCGCTCAGCCCCAGCATGGGAGGGAATTCGGGCCACGCTGCGACATGGATGCACCTGGCACACGTTATGCTGAGGGTAACAAGCCAGATGCCAGGACAAGCGCCATGTCATCGCACTCGCGCGAGAGTCCTCAGGCAGTTAAAGTCACAGAGGCAGAAAGTGGAAGGTGGGTGCCAGGGGCTGCAAGGAGGGAGGGATGGGGGGCTGGTGTTTATCGGGGCCGAGTTTCAGTTTTGCAAAAATGAAAAAACTCTGGAGACGGAGGGTCATGATTGTACAACCACGTGAATGTGCTGAACGCCACCCAAGTGTACACTAACAGCCACTGAAATGGTCGATTGTAGGTTATATTTTACCACAGCGAAGGTCAAGTCAACGCCCAGCCCTGAAACGCGCTGTCTCACTGTCCTGGGGGCTGGGAGCTGGAATCGAGGCCTGGGCAGGGCTGCTCTGTCTCTCACAGCTCCAGCCAGAATCCTCACCTGGCTCCTGCAGCTTCTGGAATTCTCCTGCAGTCCTTGGTGGGTAGAGGCATCACTGTCAAGTGGCCGTCTTCCGTCGTCTTTCCTCTGTGGGTGTCTGCTGCCGTGTCCAGGTTTCCCGTCCTGTAGGGACGCCTGTCCTACTGGATCCAGGCCCGCCCGCAGGCCCTCCCTGTAACTCAGTTACCTCTGTCCACACCCTGTGTTCAAATAAGGCCACGTTCTGAGTATTGGGGCTTAGGACTTCAACGTGCCTTTTTGGGGACACAATTCAACCCATAACAGATGTCAGATAATATTTGCTGAATATTTGATGGATTTAAGACCTGGCTGCGTCTCAATAAGTAAGAATTGCTAACACGTAGGTAGTAAGAGATCTTATCACCAGGCAGGCACTGTCTCTGCACTGAGCTCTTCCCATCCTCCCAACAAGTCCAAGAGGTAAGTGTTGCATTTACCCATCATTCCATTTTAGAGGAAGTTGAGGCTCAGAGAGGTCAAGCAACTTGCCCAAGGTTGCACAGTCAGGGAGGAGCAGAGTTGGGCTTTGTGGATTGAGCCCCTACTAAGCTCATTGAAGGACCCTCTGTCTGCTGTCTCATTAAACTCCATTCTCACATCCATCTTTGAAGGAGATATGAGTATCTCCTATTACAGGTGAGAAGCTGAGGCTAGAGAGGTTAACCTGTCCAAGGTCACACAGCAAAAAAATGGTAGAGGCAGGATTCAAACTCAGAACTCAGGGTTCTTGAGACTCCAGAGCCTTCACCCTACGCTGCTTCTCTCCTCTTACCTCAGTTTTCCCACCTGCAAATGGAAGTTTCCTTCTCTTTCAAACTCGTAAGAATTCAAATATTGTAGCGTTTATAATTATACCCTTTGTAAAATGAGCCCATCGTGAGAAGCCCTCAGTAGAGTTTCTAACCCATAGAAAGCGCTCCGTGACTGTACCTCTTCCTTTATTCATTATTGTTGCACCTACAGGGACTGCAGTCATTTCAAAGCCTTTTATGTTTATTCCTTCTTCATTCCCTCACTCCAAGGTGTGAGGCCAGAGGTTGGTGGAAACCTGGGCATTCTCTGCACTCATTCATTCATTCATTCATTCATTTATTTCCACATCCTGAGCACCTACTGTGTGTCAGCTGTGGACTCAGTGGGGAGGGACTTACTGGTGCTGCAAACACAACATTGACATGGGCGCCAGGACGGGGAGGAAGGCTTGGGAAAGTCCCCACCCGAGGGCAGGGAGCTGGGGTGTTTACACACCAATCCCTATCGTCACCGGATGACAGCTGCTCCTCGTCGGCATTAACTCCCCGGAATTGCAGCCGCCCCGGGAATGAAGGCATGCAGATGTTGGCAGCTGGAAGTGGCCCTCACACATCAATGCTGTCAGTTCTGAGGGATATGGGGAGGCACCTACAGGATCTATGGACAATCAGATAAGATGTCCAGGGTAAGGCTGGGGGGAGGGGAGGGGGGCAGCTGGTAGCAGGAAGTAGGAAGAAGCCCCCAAGGGAACCAGGAGGGGGATGTATCCACTGAGGCTCGCCAGTTGCGACACCTAGAACGCCCGCGGGCCTGCCACCCAGCTCCCCGGGGTCCGGGCTCCAGTCCTGTCTCCAGGAGCCCTGCTCAGGCCGGGTCCTGCTCTCGGATTCCCTGAGCTGGGCCACAGAGCCTCGTTCCACACGGCCATGAACAGGCCTCTCTCTGAGGGGGAGGAGGGGTGGTCCAGGCAGGAGCGAGGGCTGAGGGGCGGGGGAGGCTGCCATCCACACTGGGTGCCCCTCCCCAAGCCTGAGGCCCGCCCCCGCCCCTCCTAGCTCTCCCCTCCACACCACAGTAAAAATAATTCAAGGCGATTTCTTGACTATGCGTATTTTTAAAAAATCTTTATTGTTGAAAGTGTTACGTATGTCCCCCTTTTTCTCCCATTCACCCCTTCTAGCCCACCCCCACCCCCCGCCCCAGGCCTCCATCACCCTATTGTCGCTGTCCCTGGGTTATGCATATAGGAACACACTGACTATGCATATTAAAATATATATATATATATATATATATATATATATATATATGCAGGCTGAGGTCACTGAAGGCCGCTGTATTCTTTTCAACCCCCTCCTGAGCCCCCCCGGCCCCCACGCACCAGCTGTCACTCTTACTGCTCTCATCCTCAGCACACAGTAGGTGCTCAGTGAACAGTGTTGGGTAAATTATTACCAGGGAGAGGTGGCACTTTTCAAGGCTCGTCCCCCAGATCACAAGCCCACCAGGGAGCTGTGGTCACCGACAAAGGGCAGGTGACCCTAATTTGCATTAACAGCTCTGGAGCCCAGAAGGAGGGAGGTGATGCGCATGCTCCCCAGGCATTACTCAGGCCACACCCAGAGAGCCGCTATGTCGCCCCTTCCCCCTTGTGCAGAGGGAAAAACATCTGAGCATCGGTCCAAGGGCTGGGAGATGTTCGGAAAAGGAGTGAAGACTTCGATGGGGACAGGTAGGGGAAACAGACTTCACCGGACTTTTTAAAAAGATAAGACTTTCTATAAGGCAAGGCCTTCTGGGAATCTGGGGGCCCAAGAGCACAAGCGAGCGGACACTGGTCGCATGAGGGCGCTCTCTCGGGCTCTGAGCAAGGATGGAGGAGCAGTGGCTCGAATGCGGGAACATCTAGGAGACAGTGAACAGAGCTCTGTCTGCAGTCAGAGGCGTGATAGACCGGAGGCCGGATGGGGCAGGGGCATGAGTGGGGGTTGGGGCCCTTACGTCCCGTTGATGGCCCGGACGCTGGCCACCCGGTCCTGGAAGCCATGAGCCCAGAGGCTGGGCCCGTCGTCGTCCACTATCTCCATCTTGCGGCCCCCGAAAGCTGGGCTCTCAAACAGGTGGAGCCTGTGATCCGGACCGTCCTGGGGGCGAGGTCTTGGCGTGAGTGGCTACTCCCGGGCCCAGAGCACGGGTCAGGGCTCCAGGTGCAGGGAGGAGATAGTCACCTCCAAATGACTCCCACCCCAAACCCCCTGCCTTCTAATAAGCCGGCACAATTGTTTGGGTCAGACATGATGAGGGCCTTCCCAGGCCTGGTCTGCACTGGCCAAGCCCTGGGTCAAGCTTGTGACATGAGCTGGTCTGACCGGCTCCCTGCACGTCCCGCTTCCCAGCGCTGCCTGCAGGGGGCAGCAGCTGCACTCACCATGTGCAGAGGCGGGAGGGACAGGAGGCTGTCTCTGTGGTGGCTGTTGGACCAGGCATCCCAGCGAGGGTAGTTCCCCTTCTCCAGCATAAACTGCTCCCCGTGGAAGCCCTTGTGCTCAAAGGCCAGCCACCTTCAGGCGAAAGAGGCCCGGCTCACCTCTGCAGGCGAGGGAGGACCCAAGTCTGGTGAGAGAAGAGCCCGTAGCTGCTGGCACTGCCCCACTTTGTTCCCTGAGGACAGTTCGCACCGAGAGGCCCTTCCTGGGGTGATCATGGACAGTGCAGCTGGTTCCGGCCCCTTAACTTGGGGTGCAGTCACCACCTGCTAGGGGTGTAAGGGGAAGACAGAGGTGGGCAGCCTCCATGGGGGCAGGACTCCCTCCCATCAGACCCTCAGGACCCCGGGGACCTACTGTGCACCGGCACTGTCACCGAGTTCTCACCTCGGCACTGCTGTCATTCGGGATGGGCCCATTCTTTGTGATGGGACCGTCCTGCGCACGTAGGATGCTGAGCAGCGTCCCAGCCTCCACCCACTGGCTGCCCGGAGCAGCCCCCGCCCCCGCCCCTCCAACCGAACGTGTCCTGTCGCTGCCAGATGTCACCTGGGGAGCTCCAGGCACCCAGGAGAACCACTGCCTTAACCTCTTTCCCTGGTGTCGCTATCACCACCCCATCGCAGAGAACCGAGGCTCGGGGGTGGCCCACGGCCAGGAGGTGGCAGATGAGGAGTCGGCCCCACGCTGAATGGAAAACCAGCTGTGTGTCCAGGACCCCAGCCCCTCCCGCTGCCTGGCCCCAGCTCAGCACGGACAAGAGCCGGATGCAGCGGGTGGCGGGCGTGCACGCCTGGGCGCCCGTTCATTCGCACACGGACACACCGACTTCTCCAGTGCAACCTGCACCAAAGCTTTATTTGTTTCCATGGTCTGAATGCAACATCTCTGTACATGCAAAGGTCGTCTCGTCTGGGGGCAGTTGGCCGGCTTCCCAACTGCTCTCGATGTGCGTATGAAACTCTGTACAGTTACAAAATATAAAAGCACTTGTCGACGTCCAATACTCGGTGAGTCCAGGGAGCCCCGTGGTTTCGACGTTAAAAATATAGGCTTTTTTCTAGGTGAATTGTCAGTCACACGATTCGAGGTTCCCTCTGGGGTTGGATAAAGTGCCTCTCGCCTCCTCCCGTGCAGAACTCCGGGGCTGGGGGATTCTAAGGCAACTGCGAGGATGCCAGCGGGCCGGAGCTTAGCTTTCCCACACGCCCGACTGGGTCCTGCTCTGTCGGGACTCCACGCTCTGACGCAGGGACCCGGAAGAAAGGCTAGGAAAACATACAGTCTACGTCTATGTATTTCCACTCCCCCGTCTTACAAAGCATCTGAGGATCAAAATCAGGCGGGAAGTGCTGGACTTCTAGAATATTGGTTTGATTTAGGAAACAGCCCAGTACAAAATGTCGCCCGTAACACAATATATGACTTTTGTCAGCCCCCTATTTACAGGATCTATAAGGCCATGTGGAGTGAGATCGTGAAAAAGACTCAAGTTCTGTAGACAACAGTGTCGTATTTCTGCGCGGGCGCGACGCCACCAGAGATGGTCCGCAGGTGCCTGTCCGACTCGCGGACGGTGCTCCCGGGGGAACGGCACAGGCTGTCCATCAGGGAAGCGACCTGCCACGGCTCCACGGACGGGCTGGGAGGTCCCACCCAGAGCGCTTTCCTCCCGCCTCTCCCTCCGACAGGCCCACCCCGAATGCTAGTTCATACAAAGGCGGCCAGCGTCCAGCTTCCTGTTAAGGGACAGGGCTTCTGGAGGGGCCGCAGGGGCTGAGGGGGACAGCCCTCTCTGTGGGTGGATGCCGTCTTCCACCTTTAAGAAAGCATTTCGTTCTGCAGGTGACCCGCCCGCACACCCGTGGACACTTAGCTTTGCAGTTATGCCCGGAGCCGGGGGCAACCCGGGGTGCCCGGTGGGAAATGGAAAAGCGGGAATGGACAAGGCAGCTCTCAGCACCAGGTGGGCAGCTCCTTTGAGAAATCACGCCAAGGGCTTTCCTAAACCCCTTGCGCAGCCTCTAAGGTTTAGGATCTCAGGCCTGGGCCTCGTCTAGTCTCACTCCTTCGCAACATCTGGCCTCACTTCCCGGGATGCACAGAAGAAAACACATCTGTCCGAGAGCACAGGGCGTGGCTGGTCCCCCTGGAAAACACCCCCATCTGATTGTCCTGGCCCCCAACCCTAGGCACCTGAGGCCGTCATCCCCAGCATCCCAAACCCCGCGAGGTCTCCCGGCCCCGGCATTTCTCTGGTGGCACCAAGTCATCCTCCGCGGCACTGATGCCGGAGGCCGTGCCGGGAGGTTCACAGGCCAGAGGCCTCTGCCTCCTTAGACAAGAGACCACGAGGAAGGGGCTCCACTGGGGGGAACATACAGGCTTGTCAAGAGGTCATCTGTGAAGATGCTGATGTGCAAAGGGTCAAAGGGTGTGTGTGGAGAGGGAGGAGGGAGGGAGAGCGGGAGGTGGCTGAGATGGTGCATCCGTAGCAATTGGCTTTTTGTGCAAGACTCACTAAGGAGAGCCACCGGCTCAAGGGAGGAAGGAGAGAGGCGGGCAGGGCTTGACTGCATACAGATGATTAAGGCATATTCAGTGTAAAGGAGACAGATTTCCAAGGGTGACCCCAGGCTCACTCGGGAAACTGGAACACAAACCCTTGCTTTGCCCCAAAGAGCTCACCCCGTTTAGAAAGAGGAGAAGCACACACCCCAGTGGCCCAGCTGTCTGCACAGGCGCGGACGTCAATCCCCCTGACCTGGATGCACTGACCCCAAGGGGTTCCTGAGGCGGGGGTGGGGGGACGGTGGTGCACTGGGAGGGTCCCTCCTGACCCACTGTGATTGTCTGCTCTGCATGGAGAGAGGAGGCAGCAGGAAATGGAAGAAGTTGGGAGAATGTTCAGTCTGCTCTAGTCAGTTGAAAGGGATGGACTTTGTGTGTCTTAATCACCATGGAATCAACTGAACTTTTAGTTCCAGTCATGGGGGGGGGGGTAGGCAAAAGATCTCCTTTTCATGTGTTTTTCTTTCCTGTAGGGTAAACTTGGGCTAAAACAGAACTGAGAGTTGTGCGTGGTGAGTGCGCTACACTCACTGGACAGAATGGGCCACTTCCTACCGCCTGAGATGGTCCCAAGGGGCCCTTCCCACCTTCAGAAGGACAAAGCAAGCAGCAGCCGAGGAAGGAACTAGCAGTGCCCCAGGGGGCCTCCTGAGCAGGAGAGCCACCACATCAACGCTGTTATAGAGCACGAGCAAAAAAAGTCTACCAGCAGCTCCTGGAGGAATTCCATCCCCAAACTGCCAGAGAGAACGGATCAAACCACCTACTCAGGGAACGAAGGGGACACAGCTATGATCAAGCAAGGCCAGACCTCCACACGCAGGTGCACGAGGCTTCCAGACCCACAGGATGGGTGGGCGACGGGGTCCAACCAGTGCCCATCGGTAAGCAGCAAAGCTCAGCCCGCAGGACTCAGGGAGGGCGCTCCGGTCACTGTCTGCGGTGCTGAAGCGAGCCGCTCCCCAGGGCACAGGCTGTCTTACCCCAGAGCAACACAACTGCTGTCCCCTTCTCCCCACCCCCAAGAGGAGAGCGGAGGTAAAGGGAGATGATGCGAAAAGATCGATGGGCAGACACACAGACTCCTGAGAGGTGGCTGGGAAGGGAGGTATGCTTTGACACCATTTGCAAATAATGGGATTTATGAAGATTTTCACCTTTTAGGGAGTTGGAGGGGGGATGTGTCTATATCTAGCCAATGCTGTGTATGTGTCCATGAGGAAACTGAGCCCCAGGGCCCCTCGGCCACCACCGGCCACCCTGTGAACTGCCCAAGCATCTCTCTCTCCAAAGGGCGTCTCCCAGGGAAGGTTGGCACAAAGTTTATGGCGACTGCAGGCATGGCAGGTGGCCAGCAGGCATTTCTGGGATGTTTGCTGGGGCCTTGGGCTTCGCAGGTGGAGGAGGCTGGTGTGGAGGATTCCCAAAGAGAGGGACAGAGGAGAGACAGCAAGAAAAGAGGCAGGTAAACCTCCGCTCCATCACCCAGCACCCAGCACCCAGCGCTCTGTCCGCCTCCCTGGCCTGGGGAGTTCCCCTGCTGAGAAGGGCTTTCCGCAAGACCCCGCCCTTCATCCGGACCTAAAAAGATGGTGGATGCAGGGGGAGGGTTGGTAGAAGGAAGAGGTGAGTAGAAACACAAGAGCCCCTCATCCCTGTATCTGCTCAGCGAGGCCACTGCGGACCGGCTCTTCCTGAAGCGCAGGCAGTGATGCAGATCAACGCTGGGAAAATCCCCAGGCGGGTCTGACGGGTGGGAAAGGCACCGCCACGGGGCTGCAGCTTATGACCCCGGAGGCCAAGGGACAGGTCCCTCCACAGAAACCAGAGCTCACAAGGGCAAGAAACCAGGGAGACACACAGGTGACAATCAGAATGTCTACAAAAAGCTCGGAGAGGGACAAGGTAACCTGAGATGACCAGATACTCCCGGCAAAGCAGCCACGCCTCTCTCCTCCCGTTCCTCAATGTGAAAGCTTATATACACGTCCATGTTCAAGGGAAACTGGCTGCATTATTGCTTCATCACCTTCGAAAACAAACAAATGTGACACACAAGAAAAGAGGCCAGCCATGCGCACTGCCCCTGGGAAGGATAAATACAGGAAGGGGACGCTTAACATCCGAACTTCTGAGCTTCCGAGAGGGAGGGGAACGGCCGAAAAGCAATCAGGACGCCCGCCCCGCGGGGCTGCCCGGACACACCAGCAGGAAACGAGCGGCTTCTCCTTTCCTGGAAAGTCCTCTCGGGAAGACCTGCCCTGGGAGGGGAGAAGGCGCCTCACAGTTCGGGTGCTTTCCAGAACCGACCCGTGCTCCCACAGCTGCTGCTGACGTGGGCGGAAATGCACTTTTACATTAAAAACCGCAACAAAACTGCCCACATGGACATTTGTGGGCAGCCTGGCTTCTTTCCCAGCCTGGAGTGCTGTCTGGGAGGCGTGCAGGTGCGTGAAGAGGGAGCCTTTCCGCCTGATCCGGTCCGATCCGGTCCATCCTGAGAGCCTGCGGAGGGTGGAGCCCGGACAGCGTCTGCCGTGACCGGAAGGCGGGGCCCAGGCAGGTGACCGCTGTGCAGGAGGGAACGGCGGCAGCGCGGCCTCGTCTTGGGGGTCTGACAGTTAAGGCTTCTGTTCATGAGACGTGGCGGTGTCCCCGTCTGGAGAGGAAGGGAGAGCCCTGTCAGTGGGGGGAACAGGAGCCCAGTTACTCTCTAGCTTCAGGCCTCAGGACCTTTGCTGGGACAAGACGGCCACGCTGCAGGCCGCAGGCTGGGGAGGATGACATGAGGTTTGCTGCTGTTTAAGGCCTGGGACGAGGAAGGTGGCGGGCGGCTGAATGCGGTGGATGGAGGTGACACTGAGTCAAGTCGGGGTTCCAGCCTCAGCGTCCTCACGTGGGTGACTGGAGCCTAACAGACATCACCTCACAGCTCGAAATATACAAACAGGCTCCATCCCTCATCCAAACCCCGGAGCACAGCTTCACTGCAGAATTTAGAATTCCTTTTGGAGTTTATGATACACAAATACATACCCATATATGCTTATTTCTAAATATAAATATGTAAATATTGTGTAGTATATGCAACACCCATAAGCAAGCACACAGTATGCCTGCAGCGTCACGTATGGATGTTCACAGAAAGAGGGGAGAGAGCCTAAGCAGCATTAAATCCACACAGGGCAGGTTTGGCCTCTGAGAGGTAGATGCTTCCTTGTCAGAGGGCTCTGGTTTCCACCTGTGGACGCGAGGGGGTGGGGGGTGGTGGGCAGGGAGGCAGGCAGAGGTCTGCTGTGCTGTGCCTCTCAGAGCAGCTTTTCTGGGCGTGGACCGTGTGCTCCCATCCTGAGGATGCACAGGAGGCACTGGAGGTGCAATCGCAGGGAGCTCCCGGACCACTCGGCCACCTGGTGCTCTCAGCCCATTTTACAGATGGGAAACTGAAGTCCAAGGTGTTCAGCCGTTTGGGACCTATACCAGGCCATATCGAATCGTGTGGGGTTTTTTTCATCTTTTTTTCCCCAAATTAATTTTTAATTATACAGGGAGTATATAAATATAGATTGGGAACCTTTCAGATTTAGCTGATCTTCGATGTCCTGCTCTCTCATGTTATAAAAGGGGACGGAGACGCAGGAGAAGGGCCAGCCAGAGGCTGGGTTAGCCCTGCCACTCCAGGTGGCCCAGCTGTGACTGATCCCTAAGAGGAAGCAGGCATTGCCACACCCTTACAGGACCCACAACACCCACACCCACAGTTTGCCTTCTCCCTCCTAGGGTACAACATCCCACATCTCTGAACCTATGCCTTCTCACCACCCACGTTCCCTATCCCTTGAGTTGCAGGCTCCGTCCAGGTCTCCCCCACCAGAGCCCTTCCTACCTGGTCAAGCTTGATTCTCATACAGGCTTTGCCTCTTCTTAGACTTCAGATCCTTTAGCCACTGGGGTGAGGTCTCTTCTGATCTAAAACCACAAAGCCCGGGAGAGTCAAGTGTGAGCGAGAATGAGGGCACCTTGCAGGCAGGGCTGTGAGGTACCCAACTCTCCATCTGCTGTCCAAGGTGGATGCTGAGCAGGGCACTCACAGATGGCAAACATGCCCATGCTCACATGATTGACAGGCAAGAAACAGCAATTAACTAAAGCACCCAACAACGGGAATGTTAAATAAACCCTAGTACATCCACTCTATGAAACAATCTGCAGCTATACCGTCATGCTTATATAAAATTATTTCCATCCATTTATCCTGCCATCTCTCTACCCAGGTAAATTCTGTGGTGATTCATTTTATGTGTCAACTTAGCTAGGCTATGGTGCCCAAATCTATGGTCAAACATCACTCCAGGTGTTTCTGTGAAGGTATTTCTTTTAGATGAGATTAGCATTTAAATCAGTAGATTATGAGTCAAGCAGGTCACCCTCCATATTATGGGTGGGCCTGACCCAATCAGTTGAAGATCGTAACAGAAAAGGACTGACCTCCCCCGAAGAAGAGGGAATTCTGCCAACAGATTGACTCTGGGACTCAACATCAGATCTTCCCTGGGTCTCCAGCCTGCCAGCCTGCTCTGCACATTGTGGTCTTGTCAGGCTCCAAAATCATGAGATAATTCCTTCATATACATACATCTATCTATCTATCTATCTATCTATCTATCTATCTATCTATCTATCTATCTGTCTCGTACATATAAGACCTGACTTATGCTGATCTCAGAGAAAGCTCCACACCATGGAAGTTCCTGACCTGCCTGGGGTGGGGGTGGGAGATCTGTGAGGAAGGAGAGCCTCCCTGGGCAGACCAAGGAAGCCTTGTCTGACGGTGGAGGTACAAGACCAGGCCTCCAGTGGTACCTCTGAGACCTGGGCTGGGGGCTCCCCCAGCTGCGACGCTGACTCTGGAGCCAGGCCTGCAGCTCTGGCATCCCCAGAGCAGGACAGGCACCATCTCAGCTGTGGCCTTGTCCCTCTCAACCTCGGGTCCTGTTCCCTGCCGCCCGCTCTGTGCTCCAATAACACGCACTCCTTGCAGCCCCTGGCTCTATCAGGTCTCCAGGCCTTTGTTCATGCCATGACTTCAGCCCAGAACCCCTCACGCTGCCACCTCTGTGGACACCATGACTCAGCTCAGTTGTCTCCTCTTAGAAACCTTTCCCACACCTTTCTTCCTTAAGTCTAGCTCACCAGTTTGTCCTCTATGACAGGGTCAAATCAAGAATCAGACTGTAAATATACTTGGGGGGTTATAGGGTGTCTGTTAGAACCAGTCAGCTCTGCAGCTGCATCAGGAAAGCAGCAGCAGACAACCCATAAATGAATGGGTGTGGCTGTGTGCCAATAAAACTTTATTTAAACAAAAAGACAATGAGCTGAAATGGACCTGTGGCCTATAGTTTGGGAGCCCCTGCTCTATCATAGCACTTATTATATGACAATGTCAGCATCATGAATAACCCCTAGCTTCTCTGTGTTAACAGGACCCCTAAGAAGAACTCCACTATCCTTTATGGAGCATGTCTACAAGCAGTGCCCACACTTCCTCCTTTATCCTCAGTCCCACACTTCCTCCTTTATCCTCAGTCATTCAGCTCTAAAACCCAACAGGCAGCCGCCCTCCCCCCCAAGACCCCTCACCTCTCGTCCTTCTCAAGGCTGGTGGGCAGCACACGACTGCCCAGCTGGAAGGGGGACTTGGGGGTCTTGGGCTGGGGGGCCCAGCCGGGGGCCTCGCTGGGACTGTCCGCCTCTGGCCTCTTGTGCAGCTGCGCCTGGGAGAGGAGAGAGCTGAGTCTGTAACCACCTGTTGCCCGGAGAGGGTCCCATCCCACGGCACTGCCGCTGCACGGTGATGCCGGGGCCTCCACAGGCAGGAAGCCCCGGGGCAGGGGAGATGCTGGCTGACCTGGGGTGGGGGGTAAGAATCGGTGGCCAGGCCTGCAGCCCTGAGGTGGGGCCACCAACCCATCCTGCAGGTGCAACTCAGCTCCGTCAGCTCCACGCTTCTGCATCCATTTGAATAAGAGGAAGCTTTTGGACTGACAGATTCCCACAGGAAGAAGGCAGGGTGGATTCTCACCCATATTTGGAGGACAATGGAAAGGAGGGAGGGGGGGGAGGGGGGGGAGGGAGAATTATGGGGCCTGCTCTTTCTGTTCTTTTTGCTACCAGGGCCGTGAGTGGCTCCAGGTGCGAGGTGCCGTACCTTGAGCATGGCCGGGTCAATGCCCGGAAACGCGGGCATCCTCTGGGGATGGCTGCTGGGTGACCTCTCGGACCGCTTCTCCTCCTCGTCGGACTCTTCTCTCCTGGGGGATTTCTCTTCTGTTGCAAAGAAAAGGGAGCTGATGGCACTGGCAGCCCCGTGCACTGAGGCTCGGGTTCCAGATGCTCTGCACACAGACCCTCGGGCAATCCTCACACCAGCCCTGACCATCTGGGCATTCCTGGGCCAACTGACAGAGGAGGACACACTCAGGGCTTGCTCTCCTGACCTTCCTTCTCCACAGGCACGAGACGGGCGAGGGAGAGAGAGCCCTCCAAGCATTTAAGGTGTCTGGTCAGAAACTGCGCCCCTCACTCAGCTCCAAGCTGGTCTGACATCCTACTGTTTGCCAAGTGAACACAAGTCCCTACAGTAGTAGGCTGTGGGGGACGAAGGCTGTCTATGTGTACAGTGGGGAGGTCCCTGCTATGGTTTCCATTACAAGATTTCGCTTAAAACTCTCCCATGGCTCTCTAACTACAGAAAAAGCCTAACTCCTTGGCAAAGAATCATGACTTCCCACGACTTGGCCCCACCTACTTTTCCAGCATAATTCCTGCTACTACCAGCTTTAACCACTTAGAGGGGCACCTGCAACACACACAGAATGTTCTTTCCACACCTCTGCCTCTCTGGTCCTGTTAATATTTCTGTCTGGAATACCCTTCACTGGCTAATCCCTACCTGCCCTTTAAAATGCAGCCAAAGATATCCTCAGAGGAAAATGCATAGTCTTAAAATAATTCACTAGAAACCAAGTAAGACTGATAAATAAACTGATCTTTTAACTGAAGAATCTAGGAAAAAAGACCAGCAAATAAACCTGAAGAGAGTATAGGATGAATTTAATAAGGATAAAAGCAGAAATCATGAAACCCTGTTAAGTTGTGGCTCTGTCCCTTGTAACCTGCAGAGCCCCAATTAATATATCATCCCTCAAAAAGAATTTTTTTACTTAGTTCCTAATAAGCTGTGCAGAATAAGAAATCACAATTTCCTGTATAATTATGTTCTAATATCCTATAGCCTTCAACTCACCGGAAGTTCCTTCTAGTGTTTAACCTCCATCCTTCCTGCTGTTGGTTGTGGTATATATGGAAGCGAGGGGTGTACCTGTTGAGTCCTTGAACATCCACATGGTGTCATCCTCCTCCTCCAGCGGAGACCTGCTCTCTGACTCGCTGACTCGACTGCGCCGGAGGGAGTGGGAGATGGGAGCCCGGCGGCGGCTTCTCTTGCTGAGCTGTACCCGGGTCTTGAGGGCACTTGAGTCGAGGACTGAGGTTTGCTTTGGGAGCAATAGGGAGGAAGAGAGGAAAAACAAGGGAACCATTCACGGAGGGCACCACCCAAGAGAAGTGTGTCAAGCTGCGCTGATGCACAAGCTGTTTAGGTGGCACACGGGCCAGCATTTCTGCATTTCAATACTAACCTGACACCCGAAGCCGAAGTTTCTCCATGAAACAAACCACGTAGGTTAGTTACAAGAATCAAATGAAGCTTGAGTGCCCTGGCACTGTGCCTGGCACAGAGTGGGCACACAATGGAAAGGCCTTTCCCCTCCTGGTGACATTATACGAGCATATAAGCTAGAAGAGTGCTCAATACATAGCAGGAGCTCAACACATGTTTGCTGAATGAATAACTGAAGACATCACCTAATGAAATCCCTATACTTCATACCATGTCCATGTTTATATAGTGGGGTGCCCCAGTGGAGACTGAAGTTGTGCCTTTCCCCATCTCTGTTCTTACCCAGAGGTGCCAGCTGACTATACTTAGGAAGGGGAATCCCCTTTGAGGCCCTAGAGGGAGTCCCCCTCCCAAAGCAGTGGGTTCTCTCTCAGGGGGAGTCTGAGCAGCCATCCCTACGAGTGAGGGCATGAGGCTTTACTGTCAGGAGAGCGGGTCCCTTTAGGTTCTGCAGCACGTTGATGTTGCATCTTCAGGAGGGTGGGAGGGCAGCCCTACTGTCAGGGAAGCAGAAGAATGAGACCTTCGTATCTCAAGGGACCCACACCGGAGGGGGTCTCCCCTTCTTAGAACCACTGCTCTCCGTTTACAGAGAGACTTGCACGCCCTGGCACTAGGGATACATCCCACTAAGAGCACCTGGCAGGGAAGAGGTCAGACTTCCTGCTCACCTAACAGGCGTGGGCTAGGATCAGCTTCAATCTGAACACATGTGACTGTATTTGAGGCTGTGGAGCCCACTCTGCTGGTTACAAGTGGATAAGGAAGCCGAGGCTCAGGGGTGTGAAAGCATTTGCCCCAAGACTCACAGCTGGTGTCTGGCAGGTCCAAGCCACGTGCAGACGTCAGTCCCATCTCAGACTGTGCCCTCTGCACCCACCAGACCGGTGCCTGGCACACAGATTCTACCCTGGGAAGGGGCCATTCGCCAGGAGATGCTAGTGTGTCCCTTTAAGAAGAAGTAAGTGTTCCAACACACGCTCCCA